AGTCCAAGATATGTTGTTATCAAAACTAGAACCATATCAATAGTGAAGACCACCCAATTTGTCATACACTGGCAAATTAGCATTTTCATGTATTTTTGTCACGTTATTCTCTCTCTTTTCTTCCTTCTAGAATTGTTGAACTCCAACAGGTCACCTCCACTCACCATTTGTAAGTGATTTATTGCTTGTTTTACACATAATAAGGATTTCATTCCAATGAATTGAAAAGTGTCACTGCAGCTGAATGATGGTACATTCCCTGAACTGTGCATTGAAACGAGCCCGGAGGGGTAAATCCTCATGGTTTAAGCTAATGAGATCAGTGGAATACCTTACCCATAGCAGACTACATTTCAAGGAGCTTTGATTTGCTTTCTCATGAAACTAAGTCTAGCTGCCAAAGACATAGCTGGACTTCTATGTTGGCTTGCCTAATTTAAGCAACAAATACACTTGACAATAAGTAGTTTTTACTAAAAACAGTGAATATACTGCTGTCTCCGTATTGTAGGCTGTGCAGTCGGCAACCCTCAGAGAGGCTGTATTTGAGAAACACTTTTTCTGTGACATCTAGACAAAAATGAGTTCTTTGCTTCACTACCGTGCCCATATGCTGCAGAAGCCTACTGCATCTGGTGACCGTCAGGAACCACGGCAGGAAGCACCTCTAGGCAGAGAACTGGAAGTATGACACCAGCGAGCTTCCTCCCTGTGGAAAGCTGCCGCCTGTACCGCGGTGCACTGAGGTGGGAGGCTAGGAGGAGCGATGCCTTCCCAGTCCCAAGGATTTCGGCACAGCTGAGCCCGCGTTGCACAGGAACAGTATGTGGACAAATGCAGCAGCATCGGTCCGGGGCTTCAGCATTTTAGCTGACGAAGGCCAGCAAGGCTTCGCGGCCAAAACCACAGTGCTCTGACTGCTCACTTTATAGAACCCAGATTTATCCTAGGCATCAATCTGCTTAGTGTAACCTACTTCACAGCGTGTTAGGAGGAACTTCCTGCAGCGCCCTTCAAGGGATATAAATATTTGCTTACATGGATCTATTAAAAGAACGCATGGGACATGTATTTTTGTCTGAAAAGGATTGCTCAGGTTACTGTACGAAGAGCTGAGTAGGACTTCCAGCTTCTGCAACACAGGGCGTTCTGAAAGTCTATCTACTTGCTAAAATCCTGCTGAGCGTCCTAATAGCAATAATTTAAAAAGGAAGGCTCAGGGCATTTTGTGTGCCATTTTTATTGGCACTGGAATATGATTCTATTTCATAAGTAGCTTTCTTGAAGTCTGAGGGGATACGTGAATGGGCAACTATTATTCAAAATACATAAGCAAAGCAAAATTTGACTGCAAACCAGGGCCACCTTCACAGTCTTGGGGAATCCCAAGTAAGTGGGCCAAACACTTGTTGGCCTTTCTCAGAGTCCTCCTAGTCTAATCTGTCTCAATACACAAGGCTCAGTCTCCAGCATTTAGCAGCAGTGTCCGGGAGAGCACAGAGCCACTTCCAGCTCCAGAAGAGAAGTAGGAGGCTCCTCATTTGCCTTCTTTATGGTTAACTTTCAAAGAGTGCCTCCAGTGCATTTGGCAGTCTCCACTCACCTACATGTAGGGACTAAAGCACATTCTATTTCTTCCTGTCCTTTTTCCTGGCAACCTGCTCAGTAATAATTTCTGTACTCCCTTTAGCACATGAGGAAGATCAGAGGTGACATTTTGCTTATTTTTTAAATTAACTTTTAACTCTTGTAATAATAAATGTCGAACATTTTGCAAAACAATCAGATATGCATACGTTAGTGTTATGAAAAGAGGACCTTTCCTTTTCCTTAAACATGATAGTGAAGCACAGGGAGAGGCTGGAGAATTGCTTTCGGTGATACCATAGGGTAGAGCTGGGAGTGCTGGGGGCAGATGGTAATAAAGAGAAATCAGCCTGGGCTGAGCGATCAGGAAAAGTCCTTAATGAGTTAGCATCTCAAGAGACACAGGGAAAACCCAGCTATATGGTATGTTTAACATTTCATGTTTAGCATGAGACTCCAAAACGCATTCAATGAGGGAATAATCCTGCTCTGGCAAAGGGAGGTACTTATAATGTGACTAATAATTTCAGGGCCAAATTCTCTGCTAGCATAAATAAGCACAACTCTGCTGAAGTCAAAGGAGACCCACCCTTTCATGCCAACAAAGGATATAGTCTTCCCTGCTACTCTGAATACAGCAGTTTTGAATGGGAATCATTAATCCCCATGAAGTAAAGGCCTGTGTGAGTACTTGGCTTTCCAGGAAGGTTTTTTTTTTTTTTTTTTTAACTTTTTGAGTATGACGAAAGCCTGAATAAGAAAAAGCAAACTGTGGCATGCTTTCTTTAACCCCAAATGTGTGGTGTCTGTTGACCCTAACAGCAGCCTTTGTCCCGGCTGTGTCTTTTGAGGCTGTGTGATTTTTCTGAATCAGATACTGCCAAGTGGAATTGCATTCAATTAAATCTTTAATTTTCTAATGCAATGTTTGACACAGCTAAGGGCATGAAGACAAGAAAACAGCATTCCTCTTGCACACAAGTTACTGAGCTCTCTTTGTTTATTTTGTAGTCCTTCTCCTTTATTTTAGCTAAATATCTCTTCCCTCTCTTTTTGTTCCCTCTGCTTCCACCAGCTTCATTCCAATAAATAATACGCTCAAATGTGGGTTTAAGGTGTATCCTGGGAGATCATCTAACCTAACACTTTCAGACCTCCAAGTTTCACATGCCTAGCAGCAATTCACAATTTATTCGTTCTTCTTGCTAGCTTCTTTGCAAGGCTTTAGGGAGTTATCAGGCCTTACTACCAATTGCAAAGGAGGACTTTTTAGCCAGGAATGAGAGTTCCTGTCATCAGGTAAGTAAAATCTGATGTTATTTAGTCAGAAATAAAACACTGAGCCAGCACAAACCTGCTGGACTGTGACCCGAATCTACCCACAATAGCCCGTAGGGATTTGGTTGAGTAGGCCCTGGTGGAGCACTGCCCTGGAGGGATTAAAGAGCCAAGTGTGATTCAGTGCATTTTGCAGGCAGAGACAGCACAGAATTTTGTAAGCTAATTAGAGTGTCTTTAATTCTGGGTTTGGGATCTGAACGGGCTTGAATCTTCCGTCTGTGCTCCTTCAGTCTGGGCTGGTTCATCACACTTCAGAAATTAAGAGCAACGTTACCACAGACACTAGTGGGAACAGGCATAAGTGCCCTACAAATATAGCAACCCAGTAGGTCTCATCTTATTAGAATTTAAGCCTTATTCTGAATAATTGCATGTCCATGCCACTTCAGTGTAACTATTTATTTAAGGAAAAGGTGTTTCACTGGCACTTCCGTTCAGGAGGAATGAAGAAAAACCTTTGCCTTTAGGGAGTGCAAGGAAAAAAGACAAATTATAAGTGCATAGGGCTTTCCATTTACCTTATAATATATACTCAAAAATGGCAGCATAGTAAAAGCACACTTTGTTACAAAGCACATTGCATACATTCACGCTGCCTAGGACCCTCCCAGCCTCTTAAACCCGAGCTTCCTCTGTGATTTCAGCCCGGTGTTTTACGGTCTGCAAGTTTTACTCCGGTTTGAGCGAGGTGGGCAATGCTGTTGCCAGCTTCCTCCGCAATTGCGGTAGGTACAGACACGACGTGTCGACTTGGATGGAGAGAGACCTACAGGAGACCTGTTCTCCTGCGCAGATGTGTTTCACCGTCTGCCCATTTTGTCCCTTTCCTGCAGGCTGGGTTTTAAAATAGCTTCACTCGTCCTCAAACCCTTGCCTGGTCTTCAGCACAGGGGAAGCACAGAGCTGCAAAGCACAGCGCGCCGCAAACACGGAGCGGTGTCACCTGCTCAAATGTCTAGGTCGCGGCAAAGAAACCCATCTCCCCTGTTTCTTCCCTGCCTGAGTGACTGCTGCCTGCTAGGGGAGGGCTGCCCAGCAGGCTGCACCCCAAGTGAAGACGCCTGCCTGTGCAAATTTTATTCTTTGGCAGGGTTTTGACTCCTGTGAGCAAGAATTAGATAGGTACAAAAATACATGCTTTCCCTGTAACTTTTAAGGTGTCCATTACATTATGTGATGTCAGTATCCCAGCTCCTGGAATTAGGTGTTGATTTTGTGGAACTTGCCAGAAAGAATACATGTCCGCACCTCTTCCTCTTCCTCTCTCTTTCTCTTTTTTCTCTATTTTTTCTTTCTCTCTTTTTCTTCTTTCTTCTTTCCTCTTTCCTGTTTTTTCCTTCCTTTTTTCCTTTTTTTTTTTTTTTTTTAAGTCTGGAACAAGCAGAGAAAAGAAAAGGGGCTGATGTGAACAAGGAAGTAACATTTCTCCGAAATGTTCTATAGGCTTGGAAAAAATTGGGTGTATAAGTTAAAACTGCCTCCAGGCAGCTTCAAGTTTTAGGATTGGCACTTACACAACTGATCATACTAGGCCTTACTGAATTTGGCAGCCGTATAGAGGTTATATTTTTCACATGGATGAACTGTTGTTGAACAATTTCTCCAATGTATGAAGCACAAACAGGCTTTTCTTCAACATCAGGCGTGCAGGTCTCCTCTCTCTCTTTCTCGCCCTTCCCTCCCCGTCTTGTCCTCTTAACAACAAATGCAGTTATTGTGGCCACTATGGTGGTGGCGTGGATTCTGTCCAACGCACAAAAAAAAAATATTGCTGGTAGTATGGTGCTATTAAGAATAGGGAAATGGAGGGATGTAAAATCACTTTAGGCAGGGTTGCAACCCACACGATCATGCCAGAGTGGGAGTGTACAAGGGTACTCCCTCCGCGCTTACACACGCTGCGGGAGATCAGCAATAGCTGCCATCCCCGAGGTTTAGCAATGCTCCAGCACAAAGAGCTGAAATCCTTTGCGGGGTGGAGGGAATATCGCCGGGCCCCTGCGCACTTCCCCGCCCCCTTTCCGCCGCCCCAGCCTGCAGAGCGCAGGGAAACGGCAGCTCCGAGCCGGGAACGCAGGGACCTGTGCAGCGCGGCCTGCCCCGTGCAGCTGCACCCTTCAAACCTCAGAAGCGGGGCTCAAAACCCATTATTTTCCTTACATCTCTGGGTCCAATAGGCACAGGAAAGGGGTAAAATCCCCATGCTGTGTGGTGAATGGCTCTATATACCCAGCCCATCTTCTGACCGTCTTTCAGTTTGTTTTCTAAAACTACTGCAGTTCTCACTGTATGAGCAGCTCCGGAAGAAGTAAGAACTCCCTGAAATTCTGAGAAAACAGAAACCATAATTATTGATACATTCTGAGGGAGCAAACGTCCCTAAAAAAATGCTATATACCTACGGTAAGAGGAAAGGAAAACTAGCACATTCATTTTCCAAAACAATAGCATCCAAATAAATACTCCAAAATGCATATCCATCATTTTTTGATTCGCGATACTAGCAGGAGTACAGATTGCAAGGGCAATGATCTATATTAATTAGTCACTGTTCTGAATTAGTCTGAGATAATAAGAGCTAACAAAACCTATATTTCATAGAAGATTAACACAAGCGGTGAAAACCTGGTAGCCCCAGCTGGAATTTCCTCTCAGACTTTCTGTTTCTATTACCTGAGTGAACATGAATGAAATTTTGGATCTATGGTCAGGTTGTATTTGATCTGATTTTTCTTGTCTATTAAACTTTGATATTCCCTGCTAGATTTCTTATGGCTAATTTTGTTACACTTGGTGCTTTAATCCAACATCTGTTTACGTGTGATGACTTTTGCTTTCAGCATTCACACTGACTTTGAAGGCGCATGTTGCCCATGTTTTCTGATGCTAGCAGATTAAGGCTCCAATCTACTTTTTAACATGTGGAGAATCTGTTTTACTAACTAAAGTCATAAATTAAATATTGAATATCACTAATAACCATGAGTCTTATACCTATAAGATGAACAGCAGGCATAGATCCTTCTCCGTACTTCTCATTTTCCAGGAGAGACAAGCCTTACGTGCAGACATGTTACATTAGTCTGATTACTAGGCTTCCCGGGCAAGCTGAGCTACGGAGACTGTGACTATTTATTACACATGAACTAGGGATAATCTTTGAGGGGGGAGGTAAATACTGCAGCAAGTCCTACACTGTGCCCTCCGCGATTCTAAAAGTAGTCTCTAAACAGCTCTAAATGTGGTATCATCAGACCTGGTACATTCAAACCCCAGCCTGGTTTGACTTCAAACCCCAAGCTAAGCCTGTGTGCTACCACAAAGATAGCTCTGTAGTAAACTCTACCTTCCAAGCAATCAATACTGTGCTTTATGTATCACAGTAACAGGAGAGGTTTGCAAAGCAACAGCAGCAAAACAGCGGTGAATTAATGACCTGTTTTTCGGAGATGCTGCGCTAGTCAAGCTGCTCACAAGAAGAGCAGCAGGTGTTTCTGCATATTCAAAAATCAGACTATAAATGGGGAAGAAATGAAACGTAGCAGCTTTAAGGAACATCTGAATGCAAAATGAATGCAGAAAGGCACTTCCTAAAAAAGCCCCGTGCAATTGCGCTTAAATAAAACTGTGCCTTGCTGAATAGTGGATATTCCCCATAGGACATTCTAGCAGGATGATGTAAAGTAGTTCGGGTGTGGGAGGCTATACCATGAAGCACAGGAAATAGCTGAAATCTTTTGATATGTTTATAATGCTAAATAAATGTGAAATGGCTACACATGAGGTTGCCAACCACTTCACGGTCATTTTTACTGGCAGATGGTCACTTTTCACGGTCAACTTTTCTCTGAAATTGCATATACAAGCAAGGTATGTGGGCACATTCTGCAGTTAATGCTCAGGATATGCTCTTAAAGCAAGTTTCTTTCAGTTTAAAAGTTTTCCTTTGTCATTCCCCAATTCCTCTGCAGGGCTCCTGAATGCTCCACACACTTCAAATGCTTAAATAGAGGCTTGTGTTTTTTTCCCCAAAGGAGTTTAGCTGCTCCTTACTATATAACACGTTTTTAAAACAGCCTGCAACATCAGCCAGGATAATCTTGGAGGGCACTTCTGCCCCCTCTCTCTGCTGTTATAAAGCCGCTTTCCAAGCCTCACTGACGACACAGCAGGAGATTTTTTCTTTTCTCTCTTTTTTTTTTTTTTGTAAAATGACAGCATCCTTCAGTGCATACCTTTGGCAGACAGAGTAAGTTAGAGTAGTCTAGAAAGACTCAGGATCAAGGGACAGTACAACACAAATTTAAAAGCATTGAGGCCCTGATCCAGGAAAATGTTTTCAGTTAGTGTGACATACTTTGAGCTCCTACTGAAATCAGTGAGCCTCAGACCAAAGCTTAAAGTTGTGGGTTAAGAATTCACATTTATTATTCAAGGAAGGAAGTATTCAAACTTACTTTTTTCAAACATCACAGTATATCACCTTATTTTTGACCAACCGTAAAGCAGTAATTAAAAAAAGATCGCAATATGAAATCCTGACCAAAAAGGAGAGTTTCCGGCAGTTTTTGTTCTTTCAGACTCCTCTGACGCTATTAAGCCTGTTATCTTTAGCGCATGGTCACGTAGGGGTTTGGCAGTGCCGATTCCTACGCTGTGTGGCTGGTGCACATCACAGATCTGCACCCCGGGTCAACGAAAGAGAGAAAAATCCCACCTCTGCCTCCCACTCCAGCTTTTCCCCCAGAGGCAACAAGGGCAAGCATGGTCTTAGCAGCAGCTGTGAAGTGGCCAGGGTATGCATGTGGATCTAGGCAATCTCCAGCTGAGACATATTTATTGAATGTTTTTCTGTCACAAGACAGAAGCAAAAACTAAATATATTGTAATAGAAATAATATATCATGCACATTAAGACAATGCTTCCTTATACTGCATATGAAAACGTTAAGTACTAGGAACCTGTTTGATATATGTTAGTTAGAGAGGTTATACACAACACAGAATTTAGGATTAACCCTGAGGTTGGACACACAGCAAGAATTCCTAGGGCTCATGACATGTAACTCTTTTATATCAAATAAATATTTTGGTATCCCAGCCTATCAATACCTGCAAAGATCTCTGCTACTTCAGTTCAGCATTGTTTGTTCCTTTCTAAATTATTTAACTTGCAAGTGAGCAATTAACCTTCGCTTCAGATGTATATGATTGCTATGGTTGGGAGATTAAAGTATCAGTGCTTATTGAAAAGGAGAAAGAAGTAGTTCATTCCATGAGATTTGGTGACTTATGCCTGAGGGACTTTAGACCTTCCTTAATCTTACCACCAGGCAGACATAAATACTGCATTACAGCAGTAATGCAAGGTTTGCCACAAACACACCTTAGCCCTGGGCTGGACGGATTGTCCTCTGTGTCCGTTCTGCTGTAACTACCATAGTTGAACTGCCTGTGACAATGATTTGTTCTAGTACTGCTCAGAAGTATAAGCTGTGCTCCAGTTTTGCTCTGTACTCAGTACTTTCCCTCTCTTGTTGTCTCTCCTTCTTTGGAGAACAGCCTGTTCCTTTCCCAAACTTGACGCTGGCAAATGTTAACTGGTGATCCAGAGGTTATCAGGCTTTGACTTGCCCTTTTCAGACCAGTAGCCCATAAATACTTCTGGACTAGGTTTTGATCCCAGTGAAACTGAAAACTTGTTTAACTCACATCAAATTCTTGGAACTGGTAAGAATTTTGTCAGCTCAATCAGATCCTCAGGGCTAGTCCATTTTGCCTAAAACTCTTATCTATAATACAAAGTTTGCTCAGCAGAGAGACTGCAGGGAAAGGGTACTACTTTGGGACTTTAAAATTCAGAAGGAGGTGGTTATTAAAAGATTCTTCTGAAAAATCCATAAAATATTTTTTTTTAATTCTACATTGAGTCTATTTCAAGGCATTAAGGGAAATGCTACCCACAATCTGCAAAAGTTACATATTTTGACCCAAAAGCTAGGCATGAAAATATTTACTGTTTACTAAAAAGCAAACACTAAAACCTATTTTTCTTCATTTAAGTGATTTAGTATACTTGAATGTAACAATCCCATCTAAGCTAGGGTAAAATATATATAACATGTAAATCATATATAATATAAAATTCCATACAGAGCCTCTTCTAACAAGAACAGCATTCTTGTAATGAAATTCATAAAATAGCTATAAGTTTGCCCATGATGCACAGCACCCTTTAGTATGACTGCAGAAGAAAGTCAATAATTTAGGCATTAAAGGCTAACCTAATGTAATCTAGTCTAACTCCTATCTATCTAAAACTAGTCTAACACTTAACTCTGACGTCTATGGATTGCTTATCCCCAGTACTAGAGGGAGCTAAAATTCATACCTGCTATAAGCACAGATCCCCCTTTGACTAGCTTCTGGTTTTCTCTTACACATGCATCCTGAAATCTCAGGTGTGCCTCAGATGAAGGTGGTTTCAGTCCCAGTTGACTACATATTATAAAAGAATTCTTTCTCTGAGAAAATGTACTTAAACTTTGGAAAAATGTGTAAACATGCTTTTTAAAAGCAATTAGATCTGACTTGCCTGAAACAAAAACAAACAACCAGAAAAAAGGTTTAACAACTTCACGGTTTTCTAGAACCATTGTTACAAACTTCTAAAAGAACAATCCCGGCAGATACAAACTGTTGCTGTTTTACTGGAATAAAGGCTTCAGAAGAGACAGGATCTGGCCTTGCAGGCAGCAGGGATCTGTGTTACACTGGCTGGCGTTCATCTGCTCTAACCCTGTATTTGTGACAGGTTATGACTATTAAGAAAGCCCCTACATCTCCACGTGCCTTTCTTTCCCAATCTGTGAAACAAGGATCATTACACTCACGTGGTTTGCAAAGCACATTGAAAACTATTCATGGAAGAACACTGCCTAAAACATTATTTTGGTTTTGGTCTAGAGGCATGCATTTTTATATGTTTCAATACATTTCATAAGTTTTTACAATGGCTGATTACTGCCAAACTGCTATTAACAAATGCTTATCTTATTACTTGCTCTTTTCCTAGTTACTATTAAAGTAGGGCTATAACATTGGGTCAAGTTATTCTCCTCACTACACCATAAAGGGCATGACTCAAATCAAGAATACAGTTCATGACAGATGTCACTTCAGCAACACTGGAAGATAGCACATCCACACAGGCATGGGTAGACACGTTACCTACAACCATACGGCTGTGTGCAACGTGCACCAAAACCGATCTGCAGAGACCTGCATCCTGAGACCAGCTCATCTTGTCCTTTGTTCCTGCTGTGTCCCTGCCACCAATAAGAGACTGTTCGTATTACATTTTGTTATAATAGCAGACACTATTCTCTAAAAATAGCCCCATATTTAATTTTTAGATTTATTGCACAGCTTTAAATTCCTAATCTGTTAGTATCCTGGACAGATTACTCAGAAGTAAAGTCTAAAATCAGAGTAGTGCGTTACATAGAGTAGTTCAACAGCCTGGGATAATACCAATATTGAAATATTTCTACACTTTTCTGGAGAGAAACTACTGAATAGTCAAAGATAATAAGTTGAAAATACAACTATCATACTGTAGTTTTTCTTCCCCTCAAGTACTGTTTCTTACTACTGGAAAATACAGCTTAGGAAATCTTTCCATGACCAAATCAAATTCCTAGGAATATCAAGTGAATATCTGGGAATATGACCTGTAATATCCAAAATAGCCTAAACATTTAAAATTCCTATTTTTTCATTACATCTGAAAATATAATCATTTCTGGCAAGTATGTTAGGCATAACTGATGAAGTCCAAAGAGCAAAAGACAACTGAGACTTAGAAAACTGTCTTCATTTACACTGATGGGCTGTAGGCTTTTAATATATTTTGAAGTTAATATTGCTTGGCAATATAATTAAACATGTCTTTCTTGATTCACTCAGTCTGAATACTAATTTTGATTTATCCCTGGAGGGTCTGTTCAGGAAGAAGTCATGCACCTTTTGCAATATTTGTAGGCTTTCTTAGGAAAGTGTGGAATGCTGTGCAAACAAGTAGAGTCACAAAGACTTCTTATCTGTTTATATTAACCCTCCGAGCAAACTGCTTTCATTCCCTTGCCAATAAAACAGGGAATTCACTTAAACTGGATGGTTGTTCCATGATGGTGAAATCTTCTTTAAGTGTATATTAGCTTTAGTACAAGCCGAATTTCTCCTGGGTAAATTTTCTATTACACATTTTCAATTCACAAAGCTAATAGCATGTTGCGAATGAGTGTCCAGTTTCATTTGCTATCACTGTATTCACATGCAGAGATTTGTATCTCATGCTGATGAGCCAAGTTTTATAGGGTAATCATTCCACCCAAGAGTCTGTGCCATCCAAGATTTTAGACTTGGGGAGGAACTTATTGAATATGTGGCTTTTGGTTTTTTTTGCCTTTTTGCTTTTTTCTACATATTTTTTCCATAAGCAAACAAGTTCCTTTGTAGTTGTGGTTGAGGCTGAAATGTTCACCTACCTCAGATTATTCATGCTAACCTTAATGCTCATGACATGGATTTCTGGTGCAAACCTTGTTTCAAATGGGTAAGTGTCCACAGTAAAGGAGCTGGTGCTGCAAACAACTGATCTTAACCAAGAGACTGACCAGTCTGTGTAGGCTGCAAAGAAGGAACCACTTTCTCTTTCCAGCAGAAGCTATTTCTTATGTAAAACTGACCATTAACAGGATCTATGCTTTACTTTATGGATTCAATTAGAAAGCAGCTTACCACCATAAGTAATCTTTGGTAGAAAACTTTTTCTTTTGTGTATACTGCTCCTCAATGTTTGCGAACAGCTTCTGTTACAATATTAAAACATGATATCACCTAGAACACAAGAATGATGATACTTCTCCAATTTCTAGTGAAAAACTGATTAATACTACCTTTTAAGAAACTAGCAATGGCACTATGTGGGCTAAGTCTCTCTGTGCTTCTGTCATCTAGATAGGCAAGATAAACAAGTAGGTAGCTGTGTGGATGGTGCATCGGAAGAAGAAAATTAATGAAAATTATTGGATTTCTTTAAAGTTTGCTCCAATTAACAGAGGACTCAGGAAAAATTTTAAGATCATTTTAAATTTTTCTGTAAAGCAGTATTCAAAGCGTACAAAGAGAGCATTAGGTAAACATTTTATGTAACAAAAACAGGGTTTGTCATTTTGGAATCTAATTTTTTACAGTGTCAGTTTGAATGCGTACTTCAGTGAAAGCTGGAATGTTTCTTTATTTCAGTGTTCTTTAAAGTATTGCTCTTCATCCTGTTTTGCAGTAGGCTACATAGTTGGCAGAAATCAGAGCAGTGCTCTTATGAACAGCTATTTTAATCTGTATTCAGATGTCTGTGTTTGTGGAAAGTGCTATATCACAATGTGTAGTTACAGACTTGGTGGTGCCATGATGTCCCACGATGCATTTGCACATTGGCCTGGAAGGGAATAAAAGAGCAGTGCAGGATTGCTGGTTAGCATGCCGATTCCTTGGCATTTTTGTTGAGACTCATAAAACAGTGTTGGTTGAAACCAGTGGCAGAAATAGCTTTTGTAATGTGGATATTTGTACGCTCAGAATAGAGTTCAGAAAACTGGCAGCAATTTTATTATATTAATGATGTGTGAAGACTTTTTATATTTAGGTCTTTCTCTCATTTGTGCACTGCAAGCCAGAAAAAGGTTAGAACCTGTAAAATGTGGATCTAAAGGCACACCTTCCCCAAATAGGGAGATTTAGATTTACATTTTGATAGAGAATACAGTAGGGGATAGCACCTGTGTTCAGGTCCAGTGTGCCTGAATGCAAACCACTAAAATTGGAGAGGTCTTGGAAGCATGGTTTTAGTCCAAACCCAGCTGTGATTTGCACCAAGGTAACCAGGACGTATTTACCATAAACACTGGATTTTTTTTTTTAAACAAAATCTTTAACTTCTCATTGGCTTTTAACACAAAGGGTTTCCCCCCAAATTTAAGGATTTTATGAAAAACAGGTACAATTCAGTTAAGCATTAAGCAGTAAGACAGCAAATCAGTAGCCAAATCTGCCTACTTAGTAGCCCTTCAAATTCATTAAAGAATCTAGTTGATAGCATGCCGTGGCCAAAAGCTGTATTGGGCTACAGGTTCCTACTGTTTTTCTGTCTTTTCCTCTCCCCTTTGTTACATACAGGCAAATAAAAATGACCTGCAGAGCCATTTGGGAACAGCTACGGATGCTGCTATTTGCATAACATCAAAGACATCTCGAGAAATTCTATGGCAAAAGGCAAGATTGAAAATAGTATGTAATTGAAGTGCCAAGGGAGGACTGTTAGGGCAGAGTATAGTGTGCAAAGTATAAGTCTTAGAAGGAACCATATATTCTAGAAATACCTCTTTTTTGTTGTTTCTATTCAAGAAAGGAAAAAAAAGTTTGTGCAGCATTCACGCAAGCAGCTAGCAGTCTCATTCGGTTGTGTCCATGAGAGCAGCAGACTATTTTCAGACTGTGGAGCAGCTATGGATCCCATGGGGAGCTCCTGGTGAATTACAAAGCACTGTAGCTCAGCAGGCTGCCAGGTGGGTTGCGGTCAATGCAACCATTTACTCATGCTATGCATGAGCATCTTCCACTCTGTTTTGGAAGAGATATACATAGGTCCAAAGTGGGTTCTCCCCTTCCTTGATCCTGTGAGATCTTACCCTAATTGATAGGACTGCTGCAAAACAGGAGGAGGAAGTCCGGTCTGCTGCATGCTTCCTCTGGGCCAGCAGTTAGCGCCGAGCATCACAGATCTGCAGAGGTCAAGGAAAAGCTGCTGCTGAGCTCATCTCCCAGCTTCTGGTTTTAAATTATTCATACAGGAGTTGCCACACCAGATGGTAACAGTAGTCCATGCGGCTCAGGCTGCCTCTGTCAGCGCCGGGCAGACTGCGGGCACCCGCGGGACCTCTGTCAGATTTTAGGCAGCTGTGTGCCAAGAGAGCGCACATTTCTGCCTGGTCCTTATCGGACAGTGGGAGGGTGAAGCGGGTACCCTGTCCCTTATACCTTTGGCACCCGGTTCTTTAGAACTACAGTTATTTTCCTTATGCCTAGCCCAGTTTGATTCTTACTGGTTTTTTAGCCTCAGTGACATATTGTGGCAACAATATGTTCACTTTTTAATTTTCATCATGGAAGGCTTCCCATTTGAAAATCATGTATGAGAAGGTAAGGAAGACTTACTTTCAGTAATGTGGAGCTGTATACCCACTCCATGACTATCAACAAGTGGAAAGGAAGCTCTTAAATAAAAGTATTATCTGAGGTTTTATAATGTGTTTTAGCCTTTGGTAAAATGGCATGAATTATCATAAGAAATTTACAGCAATATAAGCAAAAATTTAACACAAACTAGGGATCATCATATTTGGACATGACTTTTTACTTCTCAGAAGGGAAGGCATTGCCAGCTTTCTAGCCAGGCTGCAATTGCCTCCACAACAGAGGCACCAAACTTCGCTGACTTCTGAAATGTTATCTCAGAAATCTGTATCTGATTCACAGCTTAACTATAGGTTTCAAGGACTTTGGGGTTAACCTAGTAACATTTGTCTTATTTTTTTTATTCGGTTTCCATGTGAAACACATTTCTCTTCAGTTTTTGTCCTGCCACTGTTCCAGCAGTTCCTGGCTTTGCTGTCCTCTTTTATGTTACAGGCATACAGAAGTTGGTGTAACTGCAGTGATACACTGTCCAAATAACATCTGACTGGCATTTTCTGACTCTCTCTAGGGTGGAGCAGGCTCCATCTGGGCTGTAAAGGGAGGGAGAGTGCAAGCCAAAGTAAACAGCTGTCCTAGAAGCAAAGAAAGGTGCAATTATTTTAAAATCCGATGTTTTAAAATACTTCCCACTTCAATCACTTGTTCATTAAATAAATTAACAGAAAGACAGAGTATCAGTTCATAGAGTAGAAAGGGAAATGGTTTTGCTTGATGGATAATGCTCCTAAACAAATATACAGTCTCCATTTTGTTCTTCACTGAATCATCTCACGATCACAAATGTGAAGTTATTACAACTACTCTAAAAAGTAGAGATCAGGTTTTTCCAAGTATTGTTCCAGCAAGTCCAATGTGCACCTGCAGAATTTCATAACGTCCTGCTTCAAACTGTCAGGATATAATGTGCATTATTGTTGGCTACTGCTTCCGTTTTGTACAGAACACGCAGTGATAACAGGATTTCTGTTTTATTTTACAGTTGCACTTTAACACTGAGATGTGAAGTATTTCTTGGTGCCAAAGGAAGGGATAGTTAAGATTGTCTAAACTTTTCAGGTTGCCTTGCCCTTATGAATACATGGACCGTTCTTCCATCAGTACTGGGAAGAAGAAGAGCAGTTTAGCCATCTGTGCACGCCGCTGGTGAATGTAAATGTTTTTACTATGCACTCACTGAACATGTTAGGTTAAAAAGAAGACATCTTAAGCCGGCAATTTTTTTGCAGAACATTAACTTTTCTTCCACAAAGACCGGCTAGGCTAGCTAGAGATATGGGCCTGATTCTTTGTCTTAGACAACTGCAGATCAGATGTAACTCCACCAGAATCCTTTATGTTATTCTGGCATGGAAGAATATTTGGGCTAATGCATCATTCTTATAGGCCATATTTTCAAAACTGTGGATTGTTTACATAGCCTTTTAATTTCAGGAGTTGTGGGTGGCCTGCTCCCCTACAACTCACACTGACATATGAAAGTGAATTCAGTACTGGAGGAGAGAAAAATTGGAACAAAATGAAAAATTTTGCTGAAATTGGATGTTTTATCTCACAAAAATATTTTAGTTTTCACTAACTGTCAAAGGATGGTGGTTCACAGAATGCCTTATAGTTTATAAATAACCTCTGGGATCTCTGGAGGATGTAAAAGGGAAAAGATTATCCTCTTAAAAAGTTTTCCTGTCCTGTAACCAAACGAAGCCAGATTGTGGCTGTAAAGAGCCAACAGGGAATGAGGTAAATAGTTCTGCATATGTGGAAAACTGGTTCATCTTCTGGAGAGAAGGGAAGAATACATAATGAAAAGAGGAACATTCCTTCCAAAACTACTACTACTACTACTCTATTTACATAAAATCAACATGTCAGGAAGAAACATGATGATTTAATAGGGACACATAGGTCACTCAAAAATGAGTGATTTGATTTGATTTATACTGATTTGATTTCTGTAAAAATGGACTGTGATTATTCTGAGTAATAGAGAATCACTTGGATTTCTTGCTCAGCTAGGTGGAAGTGAACTGTGCAGATTGTGTTAAGTCAAATGTATTCCTACTGTAACTCCAAAAAGATGCTACTCATACTGTGGGATGGAAGATTATCTGGGGAACAGACACTCAAAAAGATTTGGAGTTCATAGCTGGTTATCATCAGCCAGTGTGATGCAGTGGACAAAAGGTGTAATGCAATCCTTGGATGCATAAAAAATGAAAACTAAGTAGTAGTAAACAGCTTCTATTACCAATATATCTGGCACAGAGGCAAGTATTGCTGATTGTTTTCTTGTGTCTGTAATTCATGCAGGATGTTAAACTGGATTGGTCTCTGAAAAGAGCCAAATAAATGATTAAGTCTTTACTCAGGGAATCAAATCTGCTTAATTTTATCAAAGAAAATGTTAGAACGTTAGAACATGACTTGTTCACATGCTACAGGGAGCATCTACAATGGAAGCAGAAATTTGACAGTAAGCTGTAGTTCAAAAAAGAATCAATTCAGGAAGTCCAATGGCCTGTCTGAAACAAGACGTTAGCCTAGATGATCACAGTGTTCCCTTCTGCCCTTATAAACTATGAAAAGGAAGTTTGAGAACCCGTTATATGCAGAATTATTTTAACTTGTCAGCTTTTAGGGATTGTACTGTGTCACAGGGAAAGTGGTACATGGCTCCCACCTACAACTTACCATGTGATGTGAATGTAGCAGTGTTTCACGGTGAGAACCGCAGCTGACAAGTGATGTCAAGCCAACTTAGTGACTATAACATGTCTGGTGTTCTGCACTAAACACTGAATGGTATTAGCTCAGAAATATTTTTGGCCTGAAGAGTAAAGTGATTGAGGTGATGCTGGAGATGGGGACCAGGTTTCTTTTCAAGTAAAACAATAAAAAATTTCAGTAACATAGTGCTGGAGAAAGATAATCCAACGGTCATTTACTAGCATCTGAACTGTGCAAATGAAAGCAGCAGTATTAAGTTGGTTATGGATTTTTTTTTAATCAAGTCATTGCAACTCAGAGAACTTTGTTTTTTTACTTGCATTATCATTGCTTGCTATGATTACTCTTTCTATTTACTAAGGACGAGTAGATTATATGTGACAAGAGACTGCATGTTATTCTAAAATAGGGCAAAAATAGCAGGTCATTGAAGTCACTGGCATCTTTGGTACTGCAGAAGGAGTCCAGGGATGAAAGCCCACTTTAGTGGGTGGAAGCCAGCTTTGGTTTTGATTGTAATTAATCTCACTAAGGGTGAGAGCATCATGAGCAAAAGCTCATAGTACTGAAAAGTTCCTTAGAAGGCAAATTAGACTGTCTGTTTTTATTATGAGATAAGCCTATTAAGAAATACTTAAACTCCAAGAGGCATATTGCTAAAACATTGTGACGAAGTGTAGGAATTGCAGTTGTTTGTTTTGGAATAAATACTAAACTTCAGCAAAGAGTTTTCCAGGTATGCTATAAGAACACAAAAATAACAAAAAATGCATCGTTTCTATGCCAGCCTGACGTTGTAATGAAGGAAAAAAATACCAGAATATGCAGACAGATACTTGAATCATGTCAGAGTGCCATTCCAATACAGCAGAAAATGTTTTGTGGAGCTGGAATGAATAGCTGCCTGCAAAATCTTCTATCAACAGTGCTTTTCCCATGCCACTTAATATTCCAGTAGGGGATAAATGCACTGTGCTAAAATGCCTAAGGCTACATCACAAATGGCTAGTTAGAGGCCAGCAAGAAGGAGAATCTGTCTGCCCAGGACTTCTTCCATGGCACATTCAAAGGCGGATCACAGTATTCTGCTCCTGTCCCCTTTTCTGAGCAGTTAAATCACTTGAGAAGAGCTGAGGAAGAGGAAGGAGGTGGTATATTTTTGGTCCATCTGTCTCCTGTTCCATCATCTGCGAGGAGAGAGAAGACTGCAGGTACAGGACAGAGAACGGGGTTCGTCGTAACACATGACAGAGGTCAGCCCCGGGAAAGACTTCCCTTCCTGAGGTATTACAGTGCTTCTCCTGGGATGGGTCCGCCTTGCCCTGTATAAAAAGATACTTGCAAGTAACCCTGAGACCTGCCATCTTCCTTTCCCAGCTTGGGTTTATGGGCTCCCTTAAATCAGAGAAAGCATTCACAAGACAAGGGAGCTGCACTTCTTGCGGTGCCGTCTTTCCTCTTCCCTAAATGACAGTGGAGATCTGTCAGCAGAGGCTCTCCCAGAACAGCCCTGAATTGATGCACCTCTTAATGTAGACATGACCACATAGTTTGGCAGCACTGTTGACTTCCACTTCTGGGGCTTCCTTATTTGGACGAAGGAAATATCAGAAAAATGATAGGTCCTTGAAACATCGCAGCCCTACTAAATGTAGCCTGAAACTAAATTCAGTACCTTGTATGTGACTGTTTCCTAATTACATAGCAAGTAAGGAGACTTTTAAGCTACAGATGAGGTGCTAACAGAATCAAAAATAACTCTGCATCTGTCTGCCTCTTCCACAGATGTTACGTACCTTAATATTTTTAAGTATCTCCTGCCTATTCTTGAGGAACAACATATGGTAGGTGATTTGGAAAGATCTTTAAACACTCTATGAGAATTTCAACAACTTTTCATTTTTATTAATCCGATATCTTGTATAGCTAGTTAAGCCTCACCCAGAAAGCCTAACCCAACAGAGTTTACATGTGTTATTATGCTTTGGAATGTTAAGTGTTTTAGATGCAGTCTCTGCTGGGAGCTCTTATATAAAGAACAGGTTTTCTTCTATGAAACAAGTTAAGTATTCAAAAACAAAACAAAGAAAACAAAACCCAAAAAACTCAAACCAACCCCAAAACCTGAAGTTGCACTGCACTGTGTAACTTCTTAATAGTTTGTGATGTCATTTTTTATATATGTTAAGCAAAACAAATGCTGTCACATTCTGAGTTTGAGATTTGGACAAGCCAAAATCAGGAGATTAAGTGTTCTGAGCACTTAAATACTTCATCCACTTAAGTTAGATCCCATAACTCAGTCTGGCTTCTCTATCGCTAAACTATTTCCAATTAACTCTGGATCTGAATATAGGAAGATAAACCCATTGATAAGTTTCTACTACTACAGCGATATCCTTTTGCCTTTCACAGAAAGGCACTTTAATGTTTAAATTTGCATACAAATTCCTTGCCATCTTTCTATGCTGATTCTAGTATTTACATCATTTTTTATGAATTCACCGCATCCTGCTATTCATAGGTTGCCTGATTTTGAAGCATCTGACAGACCACCATGGGAATATCGAGTGTTTGTTGGCTCAGCATCTCCAAAGGTGGATGAAAATAAGAAATAGAGCAGCTAGAGTTTTAAAAGGTGATTGTCGGTACAGATGCCAACAGGTTAAAACCAGCTGATGCATGCCCATTGCTAATGAAACGCTAGCTTTGTTTGTCTTGAGACAAGGAAAAGTGAAGAGGGAAGAGGGAAGAGGAAGGTGCAAAAGGAAGGGCAGGCCAGGGAGGGGAAGAAGA